ACAGAGATAGAATTTATCTGGGGGTTCAATACCAAGCACCTAGCACCCTGGAACTCAATCCAGGTCTCCCACATGGTGGCAGGAGCTCAACTATTTAAGACACCACCTGCTGCTTCACCTGCTGTTAACAGCAGGACAATGAAATCAGGATTAGAACAGACTTGAACCCAGGGTCTGATATGGAAACAAGCCACCCAAATGGAGACTTCAGTGCTACAGCAAGCACTCAACCAACCAGGAAATACCCTCCCCGCAAAAAAGCAGATTTACTTATTTATAAGGCAGGATGATAGAGAGATCTTCTATCTCTTGGTTTATTCTCCAGTCAGAATATCCAAAGTGGGGCCTGGTCAAATTCCAATGTGCCCCACACAGATGGGTGGGTACTCAGGTACTTGAGCCATTACCTGCTGTTTCCGAAGCACATCAGCAGGGAGTGAGATTAGAAGTTGCCAGGACTCAAACTGGCACTATGATATGTGAGGTGGAAATCACAAGCAGAGATATAACCCGTAGTGCCACACATCCACCTCAGTGTAACTAACTAGTTAATGTTAACGCTAATGGCTTAACTGTTTCTTGTTTTCAGCTTAAAGTTTTAGGTTATCATGTAAGTACAGATAACTACTTCAGGGGCTAACATTTACTTACGCTTCTTTCAGTTATTTCTGAGGTTTCTATATACGTTTCTCAGGCTCCTCATTCCCTAAAGAATGCCACTAGTGCTTATCTAAGCAAATGCATGACAAAAGTAACATATTAATAAAATTAGTAAATTATCAAATGAGTTACACATCTACCTGCCTACCAGGAAATGTTGACTCTTTCCAAAACTATGTAAATACTGAGCAAGACTATACTTGTAATTGCAGGCTGCAGAACACCTTTTCAGACAAAAATATACAACACATTCCAAAGACTAATATAATACGTACATCAATATTCACTAAGTCATCCAGGAAACATTTATTTAAATTGTTAAAAATCTGGGCCTGGTACAAGAGCCTAGCTGCTAAAGTCCTGTCTTTACATGCACCCAGGATCCCATATGGGCACTTGTGCTGATCCCAGGGGCTCCACTTCTTATCCAGCTCCCTGCTTGGGGCCTGGGAAGGCAGTTGAGGATGGGCCGAAACCTTGGTATCCCACATCTGCATGGGAGGCCTGGATGAGTCTCCTGGCCCCCAGCTTCAGATCAGTGGATTAGTGGATGGAAGACCTTTCTCTCTGTCTCCTTCTCCCTGTATATCTGAATTTCCAATTAAAATAAATAAATCTTAAAAATATATATATATATTTACTATGTTTTCTTTTATCAGAAAGGCAGAGAGACAGAGAGAGATCTTCCATATGTTAGTTCACTCCCTAAATGCTCAAAGTAACCAGGACTGGTTTAGGCAAAGGCCAAGAGCCTGGAACTTAGGTCTCTCATGTGGGTGGCAAGTACCCATGTTATCAGCTAGCTTGAAGGGCCTACAAAATAGGACTTTCCTTTTTTTGTGCTTAGTTTTAGTTATTCTGGATATTACAAGCCTTTACGTAGGTGTGTGTGTCAGACAATTATTGTTCTCTTACTTAAAGACCTCTATCAGTGTTCAGAGAATTTTCCACCATATAGAAGGTAACCACTTTTGCATTTTTACCAATTGCTTCTCTTACATGCTCAGTTTCCTTCTTAGCCCTCTTCAACTTTGAAACTTTTTTTTCCTACAAACTTAAATGTCCCCCAAAATATCTTCATATGTTTTTAAAGATTTCATTTTTATTGGACACTCAGATATACAGGGAGATGGGGAGACAGAGAGGAAGATCTTCTGTCAGCTGATTCACCCACCAAGTGTCCACCCTGGCAGGAGTTGAGTGGATTCGAAGCCAGGAGTCAGGCGCCCTCAAGCAGGAAGCCTGATGGTAAGTGGAGCAGATGGAACATGAACCAGTGCCCATATGATAACAGCACCTGCCAGCAGTGATTAGCTAACTAAGCCACCACACCAGCCTCCTCTATGAAATCTCTTACTTGGAATGTTTAACTTGATTCCGTTCTATGAAGATTTTTTTTGTTTCAACCTGAAGTGGTCTTCTATTCTGAACTGCACTGCTCATGATCTACCATTCACTTGGAAATTAACTGCATATTATGCTTTCTTTCAAGTCTTATTTTGAACGACTGTTACTTTCAGTCAGAGCATGTGTATATATTTTTAATGGGCATGAATGACTTTTCCCATGAGAAGACAAAGACTCTAACTTGTTCACATACTTTGCACACTATGATGCGTGTTACTTGGCTGCAAACAACCCTAACTACATGTGTTTTCTCTCTGCTGTATCAGATTGGCATTAGGAGGGCGTTATTTTGAAGGTAGGCAGGAACAAGGACAAAAAACAAGCACCAGACAACTAAGATGACAGTATACCACGAGATTTCAGTCAACTGGCATGACTTGTGATACACAAAGCAATGTCCTCTATTACTCAAATACTACTGACTGTTGAGATCAAACATTTGAAAACATCTTGAAATGGAGAATATGGGGGGGAAATAAGGAACCTCCCCTATCATCAATCCCTTATTAAACTAAGCTGCTTTCACAGTACAGAAGTGGTTTCCACAGTAAGCATGTGCAAAACTCACAAGAAAAATAATATTTTAACATATCATTATGATTTTGAACAAAAAACACAGGTTGCAAGAAATGGATTATGAATTTTTTAGTAAGTGAAACATAAAAGAACATTTGGACACCACTGAAATATGTATTTATATTGCCAAAAAAGAAATAAGATTAAACTAAGATTCATAAGCTGACCCCACAATTTAAAGGACAACATAAAAGATTAAAAACAGTCAAGGTAACACTGAAGAACAAAGCCTGAGGACCTGTGCTACCAAGTACAAAGATTCGTTATGAAGCTACAGTCGATACGGTAGAGCAGAACTAGTTCAAGAACAGACAGAAAGGCCTATACAGTGGAGGTCAGAAACACACTCATCCACACAAAGTCAATGGTAAGAAAAAACTTCAACTGTGGTGACCCAGCTGTTCCACTTCTGATTCAGCTCCATGCTAAGGTGTCTTAGAAATTAGAGGAGGATAACCTCAATAACTTGGGTCCTGCCACTCATGTGCGAGGCCCAAATGGAGTCTGTGACTCCTGGCTTTGGCTTGGCCCATCCTTGGATTCATCCATTTAGGAAATGGACCAGTAGATGAAAGATCAGGATCTCTTGCTCCCTCTCCCTCCCTCCTTGTCTTCCAAGCAGATAAAAACAAATGAATAAAATAAACAAACATTAAAATAAACAACAAGGGGCTGGGCTTGTGGCCAGCCCTATAAAGCAGTCATCCCAGATAAGCAGAGTTCCAGTTGAGCTGCTCTACTTCCGATCCACCTCCCTGATATGCAACTGGAAAAGTGGCAGATCATCACCCAAGTGCTTAGGTATCTGACCAATAGGGCAGATGTAGACGAAGCTGCTGGCTTTAGTCTGGCTCAACCTTGACTACTGCAGCCATTTGGAGGTAAATCAGGGATTGAGCAACTTGTCTCTTCCTCTCATTATCTAATTCTGCCTTTTCAATAAATAAATATTTAAACATAAAAAGCAAACATCAGTACATGTTTCAACTTTTTAAAGGATTATTTATTTTAAAAGAATTATTCATTTTTATTAGAATGGCAGATATACAGATATGAGGCAAGACAGAGAAGAGAACTTTCCGTCTGTTGATTTACTCTCCAAGTGAGCACAACGGCTGGATCTGCACTGATCCGAAGCCTGCACCCAGGAGCTTCTTCCAGGTATCCCACACAGGTGCAGGGTCCCAAGGTTTTGGCCTGTCCTCAACTGCCACAAGCAGGGAGCTGGATTGGAAGCAGGGCCACTGGGGTTAAAACCAGTGCACAACCAGTGGAATCCCGGTGCAGGTAAGGTGAAGACTTCAGCCACTAGGCTAATGGCTTTGTGGGTGTAGTGGCTACAACAAATTACTTTGACCAAGTCTGAACCACTTGTCTCTTATCAAACTTGCTTATCATTGCATTATCTCTGAACACAACATATTTGAAACGTGTATGGAAGAATGAGTATATCAAAACACAGAAAAACCTTGTGATGACTACATTTTAGGGTAACTCTTTAAAGAAAGATGCATACTGCTCTGAGTGGCTTCTGGATTTCCACCTAATATTCAGAAAGTAAGACATCATGAAGTCCCCAAAGATCAGTATTCCAAACTAAACAGTGTCCATATCCAAATACATATCTTGAAGCTTTAACCCCCCCAATGTGATGGCATTCAGAGACTTGGCCTTTCAGAGGTAATCATGCAGGGCTGGTGCCATGGCTCAGCAGATCAATTCGTTACCTTCAAGCACATACCAGGATTCCATATGGGCACCAGTTCTTGTCTCAGCTGTTCCACTTCCCATGCTGCTCCCTGCTTTTGGCTTGGGAAAGCAACAGGGGATGGCCCAAAGTCTTGGAACCCTGTACCCATGTGGGAGACCCAGAAGATGATCCTGGGTTTTGGCATAGGATCAGCTGAGCTTCAGGCATTGCAGGCACTTGGTGAGTGAAACTTTCTCTGTCTCTCCTTGCCACTATCTTTCCATTAAAGCCAAGCAAAGTAAAATAAAATAATAATAAAAAAAAAAACACAGCAGATGGGAGCTTTCTGTCAGTCACTATGTCTCAAAACAATCTACCTGAAGAGACTAGACCAATCTTCCCTTTCACCAAGAAATGGAACACAACAGTATTCTCTACCTTTATCTAGGTGATTTTTACCAAAATGTAGACTTATGTGTTAACCCACATAACCATAAGTATAACATCTGTCACACTTCTATATATAAATACATATATATGAATGGGTATTGTTATAACTCAGCTTACTAACTCTTTCAGGCCATCATTTCTTATTATCTTTACTGATCTTTACTAATGAAAAGGGAACAATGTGGTAACTGGTGATTTATGGTCAATAATTGCTTACCTTTAACAACGGGCAACTGCAAAGGTTGGGAAAGGAGAGTGGAAAGTTAACCCCAAGAAGAAAATCTTTGTTTTTCAGGAATCTCTCGTGGCTCTCGCCTTCTGACTCTCGCCAGGAGCGCAGCTGATGGAGCCTGTAGGAGGCTTTCAGAGACAGGAAACTAGCTAACCATCTGCAACAAACCACAGCAGACATGCTCATTCAGTGCTCCATGGAGTTGTGAGAGCTGTTCACAGCAGTGAGCAACCATCCAAGGGTTGTCTCCCACCAATATCTCTTATGTAAATCTTGAGCATTACAGAAATAGGACTTTCTTAAATTTCAATTAAGCTACTATTTCAAACTTGAAGCTAAAATCCTTCATAAATCTCGCTAGTAATGAAAATATTACAAAAACTACCACAAAAGAAGTCTTGACGCAAGGCAATTATTCCTAATGAATTCATGACACATTATATAAAGTACTCAAATGATTAAAAGCATATGTCAAATAACATACAACTGAACTTTTTAGAATATACGAGATAGGATATGCTGCCAAGTACCACTAACTGAATGAATCACCAGTTTGCTCGAAACCTGTACGTACTAGCAGGACAAAATAAGCTAACTTGAAGCTAGTACTTGGAGATCATCTTCCTGCATAGGAAAGAAAAGCTTAAATATTTTTTATTTGAGGTATACCATGAAGCAACATGTAATTAAATGAGCAAAAGAAAATTTACTATTCCCATGTAAATAACAAATGCTATTAACAACAGAAATAGAACCCGAGGCTTTCTAAAATTACATAACATGAAATCATTAATTTCAACTATATTCAACTATAGTCAACAAATTCAACAAATTCAACTATAGTCTCTTACTCCTAACTGCTTTCTCATCACAGAAATGACTGGTCTCTTACCTGGCCAAAAGTCCTTGCAGCATGAGGTTTGCCATTTCGGCTGGAGAAACATCAATAAAGCGAAGAAATGAAAAACAACTTTCTTCATTAACACCTGGAATATCAAAAATGATGTTAACACCAAGAGTAAACCAAGAGATAATTGTCAGCTAAAGCCTATAGCAGTTGCTGCATTCTGCCTTAAGAATTATCAAAACCTCTTGACAACTTCATGGAGTTGTAAATTTATATTCGTTTCCTTGTTGTTAATTTTTGTGTGTGTGGCTTTTCATTTAAGCGGATGTATAGTAATTGTGTTATAAAGATTATGATATTCAGATGTGAGGACACAATACAGTATGCATCTCTACTTCTAGATCAAAGATGGATTCCCAATGAAACTGTTAACTATATCTTACAAATAGGATGCTGGACTCTATGAAACTATATCATAAAATGATAATAATATATTTTTTATATATATGTATATATATATATATAATCACAACATTTTAAGAATCTTTTGGGGTTTTCTTTAGAGATATATATCTAAAACCAAAAGATTCTTAAAATGTTGTGATGTAGCCACTATGTCACATCTTTCTATGAAGATCACACAAAAAAAATCTTGATTGATACATGGCACACATGGTTCAGAACAGAAGTAGCTCAATAGTCTGTGGTTTTTAGATTCTTGGCTAACTGCTTTTTCTTTGTCATACCAGGTAAAAGATTCCAAAACTTGGACTTACTTTTGGACACTGGAGTCAGTGCTATAGCATAGCAGGTTACACTGCTACCTGGAGTGCTGGTATCCCATATGGGTGCCAGCTATTCTGGGTGATCGACTTCCACTGCCATTCCCTACTAACGTGCCTGAGACAGCAGCAAAAGATGGTCCAACTTGGACTGCTTGGACTGCTGCACCAACATGGGAGACTGGGGAGAAGCTGACTCCAGTGTCCCACAGGTGCAGGGTAACAAAGGCTTTGGGTCATCCTCTATTTTTCCCAGGCAACAGGCAGGGACCTCGAGGGAAAGTGGTGCAGCTGGAACATGAACTGGTGCCATATGGCGGTTGCAAGGCGAGGATTTAGCTACTGAGCCATCACACCGGGCCCTCCTGGACACATCTTCTACTGCTTGGTATTAGTATACAGAGATTGGAAAGAGAACTAATTTGCTTACTTCAACTGTAGCAAAGCTTTAGAAATAAAGGCCTATCATATAGGCAAAATTACTTCCAGCTCCAAAGTTCTCAGGGAAACAATGAACATCTTGGTAAATCCCTGACACACCTTCCTTTCCATGGATCATAAAATTTACCTTTCCTGTGGAAGAGAGACTGCTGAATATAATCTGGTGCGAATGGAGAAAGAAGAATTCTTAACCACCTATAAAGTGAATAAAATGAAGCCAAACTCAAATACAAATACAGGAAGATCAGATATTCCAAACAAATAGTACCTTAGATTTCTCATTGTAAGATTCTTACATTATCAAAAATAATTAAAGTACAAGACAACACAAGTTTAAATTAATCTCATTTGATTTAGCAAAAACAAAGTTATCAAATTTGATGTTTAACAAAAAACAATTCAGCATTGTAAGTTGCCAAATACAACATTAAACAAACATACCAAAAAAACAAAAAACAAAAAAACCCAACTAAAGTTCTGGCCCATATGTGCCTGCTAATTTAGTTAAGTATTAACCTGGAACTATCACAAAGAACTTATAAAAATGACATGTGTCTCAAATTTTCAATTGCAGGAGAACATGTTAATGATTATTTTTAGAACAAGGTCTACTGATCTCCACAGCAGGCGCTTTCTAAACCCATCATTCTCAAATGTTGGTTCATAGAAGAATCCTCTGGCAAGAGGTGAAAGTCTAGATGTCAGAATCATCCTACTTTGGAGATGCACAATGGAGTAGGCTACAAATTTTTGAAAAGTAAATTGTGTTTAACATATCAACAGCTACTCAACCTCTACTAAATTTATCATTGATTCTGTAAAGAGGATAATTTTAAATAATCTGAAATGCAACCAGTCCTATAAGTACAACTCCAGGCACAGAATAAATCCCTATAAACCAAATGCAATAACTGAGGCTTTTGAAGGCATTTATTAACCATACAGTAACTGCTGCATATACATATCTGCGTACAAGTGTACATTCCTGTCTTAGACAGGCAACTAGAAACTTTAAGGTTATCTAGTGGAAAACTTAATAGTGCTCAAATTCCTACCCCAAAACCAACAAACAGCAGTCAATGCTTTGCTTAAAATTAAGCTTCATTGCTGGGGATATTACATACTCTCTACCCAATTTATTCACTCAGACATGAAACCCAAAATTACAAAATGCACACAGGGTAAAAAGGTATGAACACCTGCTCACCTGTCTCGTGAATGGTTAAAGACCCTGATCTGTCCATGACGGTAGATAAACTTTGAAATCTGGTATGGCTTTAGGGAAATATGAAATGGAGACCACGTTTCTTGCCGTTCAAATAATTCTGGGTGATTACACACCTAAGAGCAAGAGAAATGGTAAAATAATAGTTATATGCACACACCATACTCAATGAACGGAGGGGGAATCCTGTATCTCCAATGTTTTCTCCTACGAACATTTACTCTCCCATTTTTCATCTTTTCACATCCCTTATTTGTTATTAGCCTAGGGCCTTTGTCTATAACTGGGCTGGTAATGGCATCTCCAACATTGGCTGACATCAGCCCTTACCTTCCGAAATTGCATGACCAGATTCATGAGGCTGCTGGTGGTGTTCTGCGCTTGCTGGGTAGAGCCCATAGAAGACTGCAATAAATCCTCAATGGAAATTTTGTTCTTTAGTGCCTGATACAACAGCTTTTGTCGGCTGGTCAGTTGGCAGTACATTAGAATCTCAATCTAAAAAACATTTGGAAAAACAGCTTGTACCAAAATTCATTATCACCTAGAACTTGACAACACATACAGATCAGAGCATGATTGAGAAATCAGTACTTAACAGAAATTTAGTATCAGTAAACTTGTGATGTGGGTATTGATCCAGAGAAAAGTATGAGTTGCATTCTTTAGTTGACTCTCTGGTCACAGGTGTTCTGTCCAAGCAATCGCTCCATTCTAGTAGCACCAACTAAAAGCTTTCACAGAACCTTACCAAAAATATATCTTCAAATATGCCCAGACTCATGCTCCTAGCTAAACATGACAGTACTACTCAATCTGTAGTAACTGCATATGTGATATATCAGGCAAAATTAGTACCTTTTGCACTACTTACTCAATTGGATAATAACATTACACCATTTGTTCAGTCTGCTAAAGACAAATCCTAAGCAAGTTCTGATTAGAGTCGACTCTGACGTTTGTCACACACCATTTTCTACCACTCCTAACACTCAACTCAACCTGAAATTTACCACTATTTCCATCACTAACTGCACACTGTCTTATGAGCTAGCCTCGACTGCTGTTACATTTCGACATTTCAGCCTTTAATCTTATTAAGTAAGACCCTTAGCTGTGCATTACTGTGTGTAAAATATCAAAACTTCTCATCTAGGAATTAAGGCCTACCATGACCTATCGACACTGTAGTTCTGGCCTTCCTATCAACATATCCTCTTCCTATGTATATTAGCTACAATGGCCTAAATGTTTGCCAAAACACAGCACATGTCTGAGTGCTACTCTACTGCTGCTCAGAAGGCACTCATTGCCTGGTACACTGCTTTGAACGTATTGACTAGTAAATACCAGCTCATCATTCAAACACAACTCATATGTCATTTCTGATTTCAGGATTCTCTGACCTTCACTAACAGAACTACAACAAGATTAGAAATATTAAAGGTTAAGAAATGTTAAGAAATGTGACTGAGGCACAGTGGTTAAGAACCAGACTATTTTCTGACCACCTTTATACTCACAACACTGCATTACACAAACTATGACACTGCTCCCTTTCTTTTTTTAATTGGAAAGTCAGGTACACAGAGCAAAAGAGGAAGATCTTCATCTGTTGCTTCACTCCCCAAGTGGCTACAAAGGCCGGAGCTGAGCTGATCTGAAGCCAGGAGCCCAGAGCCACCTCTGGACCTCCCATGTGGGTGCAGGGTCCCAAGGCCTTGAGACATTCTCCACTGCTACCCCAGACCACAAGCAGGGAGCCGATTAGGAACTGGGGCTGCCAGGACTAGAACCAGTGCCCATATTGGATCTTGGCACAAGCAAGGCCAGGACTTTAGTCACTAAGCTACAGCGCCAGTCCCCACTGCTACTGTTCTAAAGACTCATGATAGTAATGATACAAGGATCCATGCTTGGATAGAATTTTCCTCTGTCAGCTGCCTTCTCTGTGATACTATTATATTTATTAGGTAAAATCATCCAGTTTTTCAAAGCAGCTTTTAGGAAAAATAACTAGTAGAGGTACAATGCAACTCCTTTCTTGGAATAAAGGTATATGTCTCCACAACAACCCTACAAAGGTCATTACTGATTTCAAAATGACTCAAAATGCTTCCCGTGGTAACAGAGAATCACCTGACGTTGTCAAGAAATGTTGATGATGCCTTTAAGGCAGAAAACTGAATTGTAAACAACAGTTATAATCTATGGAAGATGGTGGCCAACTCCAAGGACTGGAAATGAAGAGAAAAAGTAATAGAGGATTCACAAAAGAATTACATGAAAATCTGGTACTGATCCTCCACAAAAATACGTGTAAACCAAAATTACAGGATTTATATAATAATAATAATAATCATAAACAACAAATCTCAGCCTGAAAGACATTAAGCTTCTACATCTAACAGTCATTTACAAAATACAGTAGATAGAGGGACATGTCAGACATCACAGGATGGAATCAGTGAAATCTATTACACGGGGAACTCCACAAAACCTCTTGGTTTCCTCAAAAAGTGCAAGGTAAGAAAAGATGTGAAAGAGATATAGTACCCAAATGTCAAATGTAGATCTTTCAACCAACAAGTTCTTTCAATAAGAGTTTACACAAATAAGTACATGATATACTATCACGGAATTATTGTCTTTAATAGGACTAATAATTGTCATATATTTTCAAAAAGATCAAATCTTGAACCAACTTGTACCCTAGTGATTAAGATGCTCACATCAATATGCCAAAGCTTGATACCTGGCTGAATACTCTGAATCCAGTATACTGTCAATGTAGACCTTCGAGAGCAATAATGATGGCTCAAGTAATTGGGTTTCTGTCACCCAAGGCAAGTTTGGATTCTGTTCCTGGGTCCAGTACAGCCTAGCCACATTCACTAAGGGAAATTGAGGAATCAACTATGGAGCTCTCAAACAAGTGAATAAAAAAGTAAAATGATAAGAGGCAGCATTATAACATGGTGGGGTAGGCCACCAGCTGCAATGCATGCATCCCATGTAAGTGCCCGTTCATGTCCGTTTTTCTTTGCTTCCAATCCAGCACCTGAGCTGATGTACCTGTGAAAGCAGCAGAGAAAAGCCCAAGTATCTGAGCCCTGCCACCCACTGGGGACACCTGGATGGAATTCCGGCCTCCTGGCTTCAACCTGGCTCACCCCAACAACTGATGTCATTTTATGAGAGAACAAGCAGATGAAGGTGGGACTCACTTTAGGTCAACTAGAACCAAAGTACTTAAGCCATTATCTGCTGTCTCCACATGTATATGTAAGTAAGAAGCTGTAATTCAAACCAGAGCTAGGAGCTGAATCCAGGTTATAGAACAGAAGTGTTCCAAACAGGAGCTCACATTTGCACCAAATGCCTGACCTTGACACAATCAAATTTACAGGCATTCTCCATGCATCAAGGAATTTATCACCCCTGGAACCATAACTTGGTGCATAGTAAAGGTTTCTTTCCTTACCTTATCAGACAACTCGTTTTCCACATCTTTCTTGATTCTCCTCAGCATAAATGGTTTCAAGATCATGTGTAGGCGAGAGAGTTGATCTGAAATGCCAGGAGGCCCCTCCACATTACATTGATTCAACATAAACAGTCAAAACAAATACTAAGCTCAGCCGTCACTAAACCTTTTATATCACAATTGTTTCAATAATTCTAGGAAAACAGATTTTAAACTTCTTTTAAGTGGAAATTCAAAGAATATTTTCTACACCATCATGCTAAAATCAACACCACAAATGAATTAGGCTCTAGTTTTCATTAGAATTTACTTTCATAGTGTTTATGCTTTCCCAATGATAAGATTCTTGTATAGGTCTAACACAGGCTATATCTGACTTCCAGTGTTCCCCTCAAAATCATTCAACTGCTAGCATTTTAACAACTTGTAGTATAAAATCACTAAAGGACATTTCTAATTATAATATCATCTCATACCGATGTAATAAGAATCACCAAGAATGCTCTTAAAATCAGGTAAGCATTATTCAACAAACTCAAAAGTTTAAATATTCACAATAGAATCAAACCTAATACACGAGAAAAAGTTCACAAAAATGATTCCTCTACTACTTTGCTTTTTCATCCTTAAAAGAAAAAGTCTTGATCCACCTATACAAAGAATATAATTCCAAAGTTAATTTTTGGGGATGTATATGAAAGATGAGAATTCCCCAAGCCAAAATGTTTCATTTTTTTTTTAAACTAAATCGTCTCTGCTTTAAGTAGTCATGACTACTCCTCAATTAGTCCTTTTTTTTCACTCGCTCAATGATATACAAGTCACATAATTATTTTATCAGAGAAACAACTCCCCATCTTCTAGGGGAAAAAAATACAAAATTATGTGATTTCCTACATGAATACAGAAAATTAAACGTAGCTCATAATAATACTCACTTTCATCAATGGCAGATTTATTTTCAGCATGGCTCTCAATGTCCTTGGAAAACCATTCATTAAATTCCTCGTGTGAATCAAATAATGTTGGCATAATGAAATGTAGCAGAGCCCAGAGCTGAAAAGAAAAAAAGAAAAAAGAAAGAAAGAAAATAACTGCAGGACAACAAAATGATCACAGGTGAAGGTTCACCAGAATCTGGAGTCAGAGACTGAAGAAAGTTTGGAGGTAGAGCTGTGTGTTTGTGTCTACACTGGGGCAGGGCTGGAGACTATTACTTTTCAATTTTAGTGTAAGAGCATCTCTCTATTATTTGGGAAATATTTTCAAAAGTGGTCACTACTACATTAGATAAAGGAATAAATACATCATTGGCATATGTCAGAGAATAAGAAAACTAAATGATGCCTAAAAGACAACTCAGGTTTGTTTTGGTTAACATGTTTAGCACACAGCAGCAGCACTACAGAGAGGCATGAGATAGAACCCTATGCTCTTTTGTAGACCAACCTGAATCTTGACCAGTGCCTACCTCAGCCATCGTGTTCTGGATAGGAGTCCCAGTGAGCAAAAGTCGATTCCGACACTGGAACTGTAAGAGGATCTTCCAGCGCACACTGTCCAATAAAATGATTTACACATTTCAGCTTAGTAATCTTTATCTAATTACCCTACCGACACCCCATATTCCTAAAAATTTAGTTTTACAAAAAACAATACTCTCAGAATCAAATACTTTCCCATTTATACAACTGTAAAATATTAATTCAACAAAGCTGAGGAATCCATTCTATATTGAAATGCTGATTTCATGGCATACAAGAAAAACAGCCCAGTGTAGAATCCCTTCTGGCTTTCAAAAGCCTCCGATGCTTAGTCATTTTCACTGATATAAGCCACTTAATAAAAAAGTAAGAGACAGTATTAAAACTATTAATCTATGAACTCAGATACAATAATGAAGGAATGAAGATGGGACAAGAACATACAAAATGAATGTTCAATGATCCCAGTAAACATGCATGTTTTCCCTCTACAAAGTGAAAAATGAAGCAACATGCTTCCGAGGATGTAAAGTCCCATGGGCAATACACCCTATAACTATTTAGTAAGAACTGATACGTTCTGTGCACTCACCATGAATTCATAAAACCACAAGCCTAAGGTTAATACCTTATAGCCAAATACTTTCACCATTCAATAATAGAATTCCTGGAGATACATTAACAACCAAGGGTCTGGGCCTGGGACGATAGCGTAGTGGTTAAAGTCCTCGCCTTGCACTTTTGGGATCTCATATGGGCGCCGGTTCTAATCCTGGCGGCCCTGCTTCTCATCCAGCTCCATGCTTGTGGCCTGGGAAAGCAGTTGAAGACAACCCAAAGCTTTGAGCCCTGCACCCGCGTGGGAGACCAGGAAGAGCTCCTGGCTTCGGACTGGGTCAGCTCCAGCCGTTGTGGTCACTTGGAGAGTGAATCATCGGACGGAAGATCTTCCTCTCTCTCTTTTCCTCTCTGTATATCTGACTATCCAATAAAAATAAATCTTAGAAAAAAAAAATCCAGGGATTGAGATAAGCATAGAAGAAATGGACAGAACTTCCAATCCACACAATTATAATGTTATAAATTCTGCTTGAAACACGGATCTAAAATGATCCTCCCAACAAAATAGGTCAGGGACTCATCTTTATACAAGTTTTTCTTGAAAAAAGAGCTATTAAATATAATAATGACTGAAGTATGGGAATAAATGTTTGTGCTCTAAGCATTAATATACGCATCCCATGAAAAACAGTAAAGAGGCCTATTTGGCTGATGCAGAGGAACTGTCACAATCTTCCTTCACATATATAGAAACACATGCACTTATTGTACCAAACCCGGGACCCTATATACCTGGAACTACTCTTGAGTGCCTGAGCCTCATCCAGTACCATGTATTGCCACTTGACCCGCTGGAAATACTTTACGTCCTGCACCACCAGCTGGTAGCTGGTGATCACCACATGGAAGGGTGCATCCTGAGTGTAGAGGGTCTTCTGCAAATACAAAAGGGGAGGAGTCAAAAGAGATTGCTAACAATTCATAATGGGGTAATGAGATTTAGACTCTTTTTTGTCAAGTCAAGATGTTAAAACTGTCATGGAAATGTGCAGGAAGAGGAACTGTGTTCTTAAATAATAAGCTGTACTAAGAAATAGCCTTCACCTTATTAAAGAAAAAGTTTTTTAACCTCATGTCCAGCTGACTGTGTAGTAGCGAAAGCATTGTGCCAGGGAAAAGTGCACTTGAAAAGTGTCCAAAAACATATAATGGGAAGATTTTATCTAAAAGAAATTATTTAAATCAACTGGAGAAATATAATTATTGCCATGTACAGAGTAAGCCAAATTACCTGACTCCAAAACCTCCTGATGACTTTTCTATCATGAGGATTTCCCCAATATGGTAGCACCTGGCAAAAGAGTCAAAAGATACAAAATTTGCTATTGATAATATTTAATCATCACCATTATTTTATTCAGCATGACTCAAAAAGAATTTAATTGAATCAGTCAAAGCTTTTCTTATTTCAAAGGTACACCACATGATCTGACATCTCTTGCTGTAAAATAAAAACAAACAATTCTTTCAAAGTATCAAAACTATTTAGGAAATTATACTACATTAGGAAATAATGGAGCCAAAAACCTGAAAAGAAGAAAACAAGTTCAGAGAAGTGAAGCCTCTGACATGACACTGGTATTGATCTATCCTCAAGTTCTACTTGAAAGGTGAGAAACTGAAGACCAGTTCGTTCTTAAAATAGGGATATTGGAACAAAAACTGTAGTGCAGTGTAAAGATGCAGACAGAGATCCCATCCATTGGTTCACTGCACACATGTAGTTAACGGCTGGGGGCTACAGTGAGGGAAAGGACTGGTGAAAGCCAAAGCTGGGAATGTAACCCAGGCTTCCCCTGAATGAGACAGAAACCCAAATCCATCAGCCATCACCCACAGTCCCCTACAGTCTACACAACCATAGCTGAGTATTTTTTTTAATGTTTATTTTGTTCTCTTTTTATTTTTACATAAACAATTTGTCCCCTATCCTCTGTTTACTAACAAGATACTGGGTATTGATTCCAGGTTACTCTGATATGGAACACAAATATCATAACCACTACAACATGTGCCTGTATGTTGTAACCTTCAAAAACACACAGAGGACATGCATAAACTGACCATATGTTGGGTCATAAAGGCCAAGATGCAACAAATTTCAAAGGACTGAAATCATAAAAACAATGTTCTCTCTTTAGGCTATAAAGTAATAACCAAGGTATGACATTTAGGAAATTCTTCCTGTTCAGAACTTCAGAAGTACACACAGTTATCTTCTGACAGCTATAGCCATGCTTACAAAGCAACCTGTAGTCTGAAATTCACAGACCCAGAAGCTGCAAACAAATCAATACTCCATCTCAAAACACTAGAAAAAAAGTTGCAAAAAAGTAGAAAAAAATGAAAACATACAGAATAGCTAATTTCATTAATGAAGAATGGTATAATGTCTTTTAAAAAACATAAATCACATTTCATAACACAAGGGAGAAAGGAAGTTGAGAAGGAAAAAAAGTAGGAAGAGGCAATGATCATAATAAAACCATAAAGGATATTACTAAGATAACTACCAAATAGAATAAGTTCTCAGAGATCTAAAGTATCTTTCACCACGATCTAACCATACACCTGAGCTGAATCTACATCAAACTTGTTCTGCAAGGAAGTGAATAAGTGTCCAACAATCCGAAGAATAATGGCCACAGAACCAATGGCTGAATTAGGACAGAGATGGCAGAGTTCAGCAAACCTTTTCTGTAAATCCTCCGGCTTTTGACTATTCTGCAAATAATCTAGATCATGCAGTCTCTGTTGTAATTCAACTCTACTAGAAACCAAATGTGCAAACAAAACAATAATCTATAAAAAAATGTGGTTATGTTTTAATATGTATGATGAATTTCACATCACATGATATGAAATATTCTTATCAACAATTTAAAATCGAAAAATCATTCATACATCATATAAGGAGATGGATTCCTAAATAGAATTATGATACGGCTTAGCAATTCTAACTCATATATATCTAAAGAAGTGAAAATAAGACTAGTGCTCAAAGTAGTACAAAATTTTGTACCATAAAAATTTGTATCTGAAAACAAATGTGCACAGCAGTATTATCACAATAGCCAAAAGGAGGGAAGAACACAAATTCCCATCAACAGAGATTGAGTAAACACAACGGTGATAAAGACATAAAACAGGGTATTACTCAACCATAAAAAGAATGAGCCGCTGATATATGCTACAATGTGGTGGACTCTGAAAATTCTACGCCAATAGAAAGAAGCCAGGCATAAAGAGCCATTCACTAGATAATTCCACTTATATGAAACATCCAGAATGAACAAACCCCCCTGCAACAGATTTCTGGTTGCCAGAAGCTGGAAGAAAAGGGGGAAATGAGAGTGACTGCTTGATTTATACTGCGATACCAGCTGGAGTGATTAAAAACTTCTGGAACTAGATAGCCAAGATAGTTGTACTTAATGCTATTAAACTGTACACTTTACATCGTAACTCTAAAGCATATAAATATAGAAACAACACAATATAAAACAGATGGTACCTGGAGTTGGCTCAAAGACTGTATTTTATGGACCTCTAAAATTGCATAGCAAAGGGAAATTTGGTGGAGGGAAGATTGGAAAAATCCGACCAATGGATATGAAGGACAAAGTTCTGGTATTCTAGTACACAGTGGGGTGACCACAGGGACATAAAAACAACAGGAGGGCTCAGAGCAATGGCTCAATGGCTTATCCTCTTCTTGCAAAGCAGGGGGATCCCACATGGCACTGGGTTGTATCACAGTTGCTCCACCTCCCATCCAGCTCCCTGCTTGTGGCCAGAGAAAGCAGCTGAGGATGGCCCAAAGCCTTGGGACCCGGCACCCAAGTGGGATGCCGAGAGGAAACTTATTTTTTTTAAAAAGACTTATTTATTTTTATCACAAAGTCAGATATACAGAGAGGAAGAGAGATAGAGTAGAAGCTCTTCCATCTGATGATTCACTCCCCAAGCAGCCACAACGGCTGGAGCTGACCCAGTTCAAAGCCAGTGAGCCAGGAGCCTCTTCCGGGTCTCCCACGTGCGTACAGGGCCCCAAAGGTTTGGGCCCGTCCTGCTTTCCCAGGCCACAAGCAGGGAGCTGGATGGGAAGTGCAGCTGCTGGGATTAGAACTGGCGCCCACATGGGATCCCGGGTGTGCAAGGTGGGGATCTTAACCACTACACTATTGCACCAGGCCCTAGAGGAAACTTTTGACCTCCTGGCTTTAGATTGGCTCAGCTTTAGCCACTGAAGCCATTTGGGGGAGTGATTTTTCTCTATCTCTCCTCTCTGTAAATCTGCCTTTCCAATAAAAATCATCAAATCTTAAAAAGAAAACAGAAGAGAATTTGATATTACAAATACTTGCAAAGATGTGTTTGCTTTGCTTTGAATATATCAAACACATTAAAACAACGAGACCTAAATCTTATATTATCAGTCAGAATTTCTTTAAAAAAACTAAATGGTGAGGGGAGGCTATATGGTGTAATGACTGAATTCTATACTGCAGTGCATGGGTTTGAGTCCCAGCTCTGCCTCCACCTAGGTTACTGCTAATGTACACCCTGCAAATAAGCAGGCTATTGCCAAAGCATCTGTATTCCTGACATCCACACGGGAGACACAGTTTCAATTCTGGGTTCCTGTCTTAGGCCTGGCCCTGCTCTGGCTATTGTTTTCATGCGAACAGTAAACTGGTAGATGAAAGATCTCTCTCTTGGTCTTTTTGTCCCTGACTTCCAGATTAAAAAAAATAATAAACAAAACAAGGAAAAACTCAAAAAGCAAACAAAAACTCAATTTCATTATAACTATAATGACAAAAGGTGCTACTATTGACACTGATAGTACCACACTGCCATCTATCATCCGGTAGAAGAACTACTGAAAATGGCAGCCATACGGTAGAAAAGTTATTTTCAAACAATACTGAATCTTTATGAAACAGGAGACAACGGAGAAAAATTATGCTCATCTGCATTTCCATATGCCACATAATTCAAGAGAAAATACACAAAAATCTATCCTTACCAGAAAGCAAAAACACCCATGTTAAACTCTATATATTTAATGTATCTTGCAAACAGTTCCTAAACCTATGATTCTATGACAAAAGTGAGACCACAGTCTTAAAATTACTCAAAGCAGGTAAGCTCATTCACACTCCTACTCTTTACAACACACTACCAGAGAAGTTCCTGCTTGCACCTCCACCCAACCTGGTCCTCTGTAAACTCTGCGGAACCAATGACTGCTACGGAAACACCACTCACACACTAGGACAGATGAAAACCTGGCTCCTAGTTCTGTCCTGACCCAGGGCCTGCTGTGGCAACCAGCTGGGGAGTGAGCCACTGCATTGGAGATCTCTTTCTGTGTGTGTCTATCTCTTTCTGTAACTGCCTCTCAAATAAATCAGTAAATAAATAATTTTCTCTTAAAAAGAAGCAAAACATACACACACACGCACCCATACACAACTGGCACTGTGGCACAGCCAGTCAAGCTAACTTTCAGCAAGCTCACATCTAATATCAGAGTGCGAGTAGCAGTCCCAGTTTCTCCATTCAGAATCCAGCCCCCTGGTAATATGCATGAGAAGCAGCAGATGATAGTTCAAGCACCTTTGTTGCTGATACTCCTGGCTCCTGACTAGAGCCTGGCCCATCCACAGCTATTGCCAATATTTGGCGAGTAAAAAAGCAGATGGAAGATATGTCTCATTCCCTATCACTCTATCTTTACAAAAAGAAGGAAGGAAGGAAGGAAGGAAGGAAGGAAGGAAGGAAGGAAGGAAGGAAGGAAGGAAGGAAGGAAGAGTAGGTCATGGAAAAATAGAATTCAAACGTAAGCATTTTTTAAAAACAAACAAATGAATAGATGGAAAGAGCAAGGCCATAAATTATAGCAGATGCAAGCTCATGTCTTACCTTATCAAAAATCTGTTACACTAAACTAAGCAGATAATTTCTGTTATAACAGATTGACTGGGAGCATTAATTTCTGTAATTAGATTAAGGAAATCAGACAAACTGGACTTAGACTTTCCCTGTTATTAAAGATGTAATATGTTTTCCTACTGCTCCCGTCAAAACTTTTATCTATTTATTTATTTATAAAATTTTTTTATCATCAGTAACTTTTATAGGTAACATATGCAAAGCATTTTTGGGAACATAAGCAATTTAAAGCTATTATGAGCGATTACATCAGTCAGTAAGGCAGCAAAAGAAGACTCAAGTTTATTTTAAAAAGCAGCAGTTTGTTTGGTTCAATTGTTGTTACCTTAAATTTAGGAACAAATCTAGTAAACTCCTGGTGCCAATTATTAAGTGTAGAGGCGGGTGAAATTATTAAGAACGGTCCCCAAATGTTCTCTCTCTGTAACAGAAAAACTGGGTCAAACAACTGCTAGAAATCTGAAGATATTTAAAATAATTAAAGAACAATTAAATAGGAAACACATAACAAGTAAAAGGTGCCTAGTTCCCAAATCTACAAATTAATATTAATAATAAAAACAACATATGGAAGAACACATTCTGAAGAAAAAAAATTATTCCCTCTTTTGTATTCTTACTTATGAGGGTCTTAAAATTTCATAAGAAGATCATATTATAAAAAACTATTTGTGGATTTGCATCAAAATCAACTTACAAATCCATTCTCCCATCAACAATTCACAACTAAATTTATTAGTATATAAATGTTCTCTAATTCTCACAAAATTCCTACAAAATCCATTTTAAACATGAGGAAACTAACCCACTGAGAGAGAAAATGAATTAAATTCAGCGAGGCCAAGTGAAATGTCCAAGTTTAGCCTGCTGGTCAAGAGCAGAGCTACGACTCTGGGTCTCAGTGCCTTACACCACGTCACAATGAGCTGTCAGGAGAGCTGGAGGAGTTTCAGTCCAGATGCTTAAAAACTGTCCCAGCCCTCTTGAAAGTTGAAGTGCTATATACCAGACTGTCCACTTGTAAGGGCCTTGAGGGCCAGGATTAAGTGCCTTAAGTGGCTGCAAGCTAGAGCTTTGAAAGTGGCTGACTAGCAACAGACAATGTTAGGGAGAGGGGAAGACAGATTGTGTTTTACCCACCTCAGCCAAGTGGGCCAGCAGGGCAATGCTCTGCACTGTCTTACCAAGGCCCATTTCATCAGCAAGGATACCATTAATACCCTGGAAAAAATATTTATAAGGTCAACATCTCCATTTCAGGACACAATGTTAAAACTATTACCAAAAAGAACCAACCAAAAAGACAGATTTGTTCAAATAAAAGTGCCCAGAGCTCCGTAGCCTCAGTACTATTTCTCACTGATTCAACAACATATGAGACCATCAGGCCAAGAACAGACCAACAATTAGTTCCTTATTTATACACCTGATAATAATGTTTGGAGTTGAATCTCCAAACATAGCAAACACTCCTTCTGCCTCCTATCTTGTACTTCTTCTACAATTACATTGAAGCAGTTAATTTAGAAAAGCGGTAACAGAAAAAGGGAATGGGTATGACATGTTTCTAAAATTCACCTGTTCATAGAGATTGGCCAACCAATTCATGCCTTTCAGTTGATAACCTTTCAATTTGCCATTAAAAATTGTAGGCTGTGGGATATCCTCACCAGCCCGGATAGATGGGTTTGCCAAGCTGTAACTCTCTCCAAACCCAGTGCCAGACTTGTTTGCTGCTCGTAGGGCAGCTGCTCGACTTTCTTTTGCATCTTCATCAAATGATCTTGTCTGGAAAATCAAAATTAAAAAAAAAGAAAAAAACCTGAAGAAACAGTAACAGCCAAAAAATTCATGATAAAACCATACTTACAGTGCTCTGAAATAACTAGAAGAACTGACACTTATCTGACTGATGAAATAAATATCACAAATCACAGTATATCAAAATATTCTATTAATATTAAGTATAATCACATTGAGAATGTAATACAATGGACAAATGTTAGACATCAAAATATATTACAACAGCAATGTTACATCAAGGAATTAAAGATTTGATACAAAATCAACTAGCATAGCAGGTAGACTGCATTCATATCTATTAAAAAAACTTTAATTTCTACTTTATTTCAGAGTTAGACAGAAACTTTCCATCTACTGGCTTACTTCCCAAATGCTTAGGAATGAGATCTTAATCCGTGTCTGTCTGGGCAGGAACCCAACCGCCTGCTGCCTCCCAGAATGTACTGAAACGGCAAGTTCAGTATCCAGCACTGTGCGGAAGCCCCACAATAGTTTTTAACTTGTTTTGTTTTTGAAGATTTATTATTTATTTTTATTGGAAAGGCAGATACACAGGGAGAACACACAGGAGAAAGACCTTCCATCCACTGATTCATTCCCCAAGTGGCCACACTGACCATAGCTAAGCCAATCTGAATGTGGCAAAAGATGTTAAAAACTGCTGTGTGCAGTTCCAGCACCCCATTCAGGTGCCAGTTCAAGACTAGCTGCTCCACTTCCAGTCCAGATCTCTGCAAATGTACCTGGGAAAACAGAGGAAGATGGTCCAAGTGCTTGAGCCCAAGCACCACATAGAAGAACCAGAAGACGCTCTAGACGAGGGCTTGGCTCAGACCCTGTCATTGCAATCTTTTGGGGGATGAACTAGTGGGTTGAGACTTGTCTCTCCCTCTATCCCTGTAACTTTACCGCCGAAATAAACAAAATAATAAATCTTTAAAGGAAAAAAAAAAGGAACAAAACTAAGTGTGTGTGGAGGTGGGAATCAAATGAAAGCTCTCCGTCACAGGATGTAGCATCTTAATCACTATCCCAAACACCTGCCCCCATTTATCTCTCCCAAATTTCTAGAAAGGTTCTTATGCAATTCATTAAACGGGATCCCATATGGGCACCGGTTCTAATCCTGGCAGCCCCGCTTCCCATCCAGCTCCCTGCTTCTGGCCTGGGAAAGCAGTCGAGGATGGCCCAAAGCCTTGGGATCCTGTACCCACACGGGAGACCTGGAAGAGCTCCTGGCTCCTGGCTTTGGATCGGCATAGCATCAGCCACTGCAGTCACTTGGGGAGTGAATCGTTGGACGGAAGATATTTCTCTCTATCTCTCCTCCTCTCTAAATGCATATCTAACTTTGCAATAAAAAAAAAAAAAAAAACCCAAATTTCAATTCCCTAAGGTGCCTGTAAAAGAAACAGAAGATGGCATAAGTGTTTGGAGTCCTATACCTATGTGGGGAACTGGAAGATTTTCTGAGCTCCTGGCTTGCAGCTTCAGCTTGGCCCACGCTTAGGCATTGCAGCCCTTGGAAACTTGCATGGTTGATTTCTCTGTGTGTCTCCCTATCTCTCTGTAACTTAGCCTTTCAAATAAATAAATAAACAAACCTTAAAATATATTTTAACAAACACATGTGATTAAGACCTCTTACATAAAAGACTTAGCTATTCCCAGGGCCAATTACAGGATGCTCTTTCACTTTTAACTCACCCGGGCTTGGTGGATATGGTAAGCATTTTCAGCATTCTTCAGGGCCTGAGCCTTGAAATGGTTACTATCTGAAAGAAAAATTTATATGGGTTAATCAAATTTCATCAACTTTAAAGATGCAACTGATGTGCAGAGGTGTGGATTCCTAATGCCTTCATTCTGCTCATGCTTTGGCTCATGAAGGGCAGTTAGGAAAAAGGCAAAATTCCTTGAGAGAGGTAAAAAGCTGAAAATGCAACACAGGCCAAGGCTGACATGTTTGCAACAGTCAAAGCTAGCTGGCAAAAAACACCAGGGGGTTGGGGCCCACTATCTCTTAGTTCTGGGTTTACTTCTACAAAGTGATGCCAAGAGCTAAGACAAACAATAGCATAAGGACCGCAAGTTACAATCGACTCACCTTGGGTGAAACAACTTGGAACAAAAGATATAAGCATGTACAAACCCCAAAATACTCTCACTGAAGCACCGCACATTCTCTTTATTTCTAGCACAAACTGATCAAATGAACATTCTCTGTGAAATTTCTCCCAAACTTTAACCTAATTTCTGTCTAACTTTGTGGTCATAAAAACACCAAACTGAAAAATCTTTTTATTATAAGAATTTTGTTATGAAAGAGATTGTTTTCCCTCCTAGGACACAGTTCTGATTCAACACATTCAACCTCTAACAAATCATAAAATACAAAATTTTCCAAAATGTTCTTCTGATTAATAGCATTAACACACGAAAAGTAAAACTCACAAGAATCCATAATACACACATTTAGGTACAAATGGTGGGGCTACCCAATCCCAGAACGCCCAGTCAGACTCACCATAATCCTCCTGCGTGATGTTAACTAGCACTCCCCCACCAATGTCAATCTGTCTCTGGGTAGAACTATCTTCCAGTTTCCTTAGAATTTCTTCCTGGATCCCATCATGGCCCATGTCTCGTTTGCGGCTCATGAAATGGGCATACAGCTCTGTTTGGGTGATTAAGAAGTTAAGTTTTCGCTGTTGTCTCTTGGCCTAAAAGAAACAGAATTTATAGTCAAACCAGAGCCAAATAATCAATTATAAGGAAGAGGTGGTAAGCATAAGTCAACAAACATGTTTGTTTGCATTCAAACTCCATTACAAATTTGTTACTTTAAAAATGAGGCAGCCAATGTTGTGACACAGTAGGTCAAGCTGGAGCCAGCTGGAATCCCAGCTACTCTGCTTCTGAGCCAGCTCTCTGGTAATGCTCCAAAGAAAGCAGTGGTGGATAGCGCAAGCGCTAAGGGCCGCCGGATGCACGTGGGACACCCAGGTGAAGCTACTTTGTCCTGGACTAGCTCAAGCCATCAAGGACACTTTGGCAGTGAACCAGTGAAAGGAGAGTTGTGGCCACTGGATAGTGAATCATCAGACAGAAAATATTCCCCCTCTGTCTTTCCTCCTCTCTGTATATATCTGACATTCAATAAAAATAAAATAAATCTAAAAAAAAAAATTAATAGAGGGCCCAGCACGACAGCATAGTGGTTAAGATCCTCACCTTGAACATGCCAGGATCTCATATGGGCACTGGTTCTAATCCTAGAGGCCCTGCTTCCTATCCAGCTCCCTGCCTGTGGCCTGGGAAAGCAGTTGAGGACGGCCCAAAGCCTTAGGACCCTGCACCCACGTGAGAGACCCAGAAGAGGCTCCTGGCTTCGGATTGGCTCAGCTTCAGCCTTTGCGGTCACTTGGGGAGTGAACCATCAGATGGAAGATCTTCCTCTCTGTCTCTTCTCCTCTCTGTATATCTGACCATCCAATAAAATAAATAAATCTTTAAAAAAATTAATAGAATGTATCAAACCACATTTCATATGTTCTGAGAAAAAGGTAAATAAATCAACAAAAGCACTGCTGCCATCAGTTATCCACAAGGTTTAGGGCACCTGGGTCATACACAGCTGGATTATAAACACAGAAAATCCTGCAAAATTTGCAGATTCTGGATAACTCTCAAATGCCTCATATTGTAAACTCAGCATTCTCAAAGCAGCAAATGCTTACAAATACACAAGATACCCAGGAAACTTACGACAAGTAGGATAAAATCCATACTCACCCTCAAAGCCATTATTAAAGAGGGGAAAGTCAACAGCACAGAGTGGGGAACAAAGCTCCAGTTTGACTAGGGTTTACCCTATACCTCCAACCCACTGGTTCCCATTCTTTATTCAAACTTGAACTTACTTTTACTTCAACTAACTCAAAAATGGCAACAGACTGACTTTTGTCATTCTTTCTTCCTGCTTTCTTCAGTGTTCTACATGGCCAAGATCAGTCCACACTAAGTTTGGCCTTACGCTTTGATCATCCAAAACAAAGGAAGCTACATCTACCACCTGGAAGATTTCTTCTGTTCATTCCCTTTGACTGCCTTTTCTTCCAGAATTACACTGAATGAAAAGGCAGCAAAAATTAGAAGATAGCATGAAAGAGATGAGGTAAAACACTAAGGGAAGGTACTTACTGAACGAATAAAGCAGCAATTGGATTACTAAGCTAAAACTAAAATTATGGTATTCAAAATTCTATCTTTAAAATTTTTTTGCCAGATTAATGGTTCGATACAATTTTCAAAATACAAACCAAGCCCATCCCACGGCTGTAAAGAGAATTTTCAACATGTTTTGCCCTACCTCCCGCATTTCCTCATCCAACTTGCGTTGCTCCAAAGCTTCCTTCTCTGCACGCTTGCGGTGTTCCTTCTCCACCTTCTCATATTTTTTCCAGTACAGCAGCATTTCCTTGGTGAGACGTCGCGCACGAGGTAAGGTCTCCTTACAGTTCTTCTGGGCTTGCAAGGCGGCTCGCCGTACCTCCTTCATGCATTGGTGAGCCAGCTGCAAACAATAACACTGTCATGACAGGGGTCCCAACAACAGAGGCCAGCTCCTCCAGGGCTGTCAACCACGGTTCCTCAACCTATTCAGTGTAAATGGCTGTCCTATTATTGCATATCTTTCCTCCTCAACTCAATCATTTCTTTGCACAATAAGACCCAGGTCTAGCTCCTAGGCCAATATCAAAAATAAGCAATATAGGAGGGCCTGGCACAGTGGTCTAGCGGTTAACGTCCTTACCTTGAACACACTGGGTTGCCATATGGGCATCAGTTCTAATCCTGGCAGCTCCACTTCCCATCTGGCTCCCTGATTGTGACCTGGGAAAGCAGTTGAGGATTGCCCAAAGCTTTGGGATCCTGTATCTATGTGGGAGACCCGGAAGGAGCTCCTGGCTCCTGGCTTCTGACCGGCTGAGCTCTGGCCATTGTGAGAATTTGGGGAATAAATCAATGAATGGGAGATCTTCCTCTCTGTCTCTCCTCCTCTCTGTATATCTGACTTGGCAGTAAAAATAAATAAATTAAAAAAAAAAAGTAGTATGACTAAGAGTTGACATTAGGGAGTTGCCAAATGTCACCACACACATGAATAGTAACAGACATAACTGCTTCTAATGGTATCTTATAAGCCTAACTTATATAATCTGTGTTCAAAAACTGCATTAGTTCCCCAAAACAAATTTCACAGGCAGTCATCTAATTTTCTCTTATGGAAGAAATGCACCTTAATCATTTGTTGCATGAAGAGACTAAATGTAAGAAGATTCTGTGATGTGCCCAAGGAACTTCAGTAGGATAATACACAAAAAGGCTGAAATTGGCCCAGCGCAGTAGCCTCCTGGCTAAAGTCATCAACTTACATGTGCCGGGATCTCACATGGGTGCCAGTTCATGTTCCAGCTATTCTACTTCCCATCCATGGCTGCTTGTAGCCTGGAAAAGCAGCAGAGGATGGCCTAACAGCTTGGGACCCTGCACCTGCATGGCAGATCCACGGAGGCTTGGATTGGCTCAGTTCCAGCTGTTGCAGCCTTTTGGGAAGTGAACTACGTGGATGGAAGATCTTTCTTTTGCCTCTCCTTCTCTCTATCAATTTGCCTTTCCAATAAAAATAAATAAAACTTAAAAAAAAAGGTGAAATACCAGAAAATGTCAAACAGCACCATTTTATTTATTAAGCAGATTCAGAACTATTAATCCCATTAGACTCACGATCAATAAGTCATCATCAACAAAACTGGCAAGAATCGACCTAAAGAACAAGAATATACTCAGGAAAACATAAAACAGTTTAAAATCTTACCTTTCGGCTGTTGGTGAGAAACAGGTTACGAGCCGAAGCTTTTTGCTTGTTGGCCTAAAATAATTTTAAGAGTATTTCACTGAGGATTCATTTTTGAAATAAAATCATGTACTGACATGCATTTTATTCAATCCTCAAAATATTAGAAAATAAATTACCAAATCAAACATAACCAGCATACAATATTTCTGAATGCCATCTAGATCCATACAGACTAAAGAAACATTAAACTAGGATTGATTACTGTTGCACATCTGGTTAAGTTACCACTTTGGGACATCCAAAGCCCTTACAGGAATGCCTGGCCAAAGTTGTTTCTGGTCAATTTCTAAGGTAGCTTCCCACCAATCATCCCAGGAGGCAGCAGAAAGGCTCAAGTGCTTGAGCCTTTGTCACCCACATGGGAAACCTGGATGGAGGCCAGGCTGGAGGATTCAGCCTATCACTGTCCTGGCTGATGGGGACACCTGGAGAGTGAGTGAGTGAGTGAGCATGAGTGTGAGTGTGTGTGTATGTGTGTGTGTGTGTGTGTGTGTGTTTTGTGTTCACGTGCGTGAAAAAAAGACATGGACTAAGACAACCATGTTCCAATCAAGTGCCTTGCTTTAATTCCAGGCTCTAGTTCTGGCTTCTGATTACAGTTCCCTATCAATGCAGACCCAGGAAATAAACCAGTGATGGCTCAAGTAGCTGGGTCTCTGTCACCATGTGGGAGACCAGGATGGAGTTCCTGACTCTAGGATTTGACCTGCAGAGACTGGCCACTGCATGCTTTGGAGAATAAACCAGCAGATAGGAACTACTTGTCTGCCTCTGTAATAAGGTTCTCTTAAAATCTATAATCTGGGGCCAGTGCCATGGCACAACAGGCTAAGTTTCTGCCTGTGGCTCTGCATTACATACAAGTACTGGTTCATGTCCCAGCTCACTGCTAATGGCCCAAGTGCTTGGGATCCTGAACCCTCACAAGAAAGCCAAAAGAAGCTCCTGGCTCCTGGTTTTAGACTATACCAGCTCCAGTCACCGCAGTTTTATGAGGAGTTAACTAGCCGATGGAAGACCTCTCTTTGTCTTTCAATTTCTCTAACTCAAATAAAAATAAATCTTAAATATCTAATTATCAGTATCATCTAAATATCAGAAACCAACACAGAAACTCAAATTTTCAAAGATTCACAAAAAAAAAAAGGACTAAAATAGCGTCATAAAAAACAAAAAGTAGAAGCAAAAGATTTTTGTGTCACAACAAATTAAGTGATTGCCTATGATGCCATAGTTCAGGCTATATCTGCTTGATACATCTCCCCGCCAATATGTCTGTAAAAGCAAATGGCCCAAGTAGCCGACTGCCCAACAAACATGTAAAAGATCCATAGCGTTCCAGGCTCAAGCTTCCACCTGAACCAGGCCAGGCCTTTGGAGATATTTAAGAAATGAACTAGTAGGGCCCGGTGGCGTGGCCTAGTGGCTAAAGTCCTCGCCTTGAATGCGCCGGGATCCCATATGGGCGCCGGTTCTAATCCTGGCAGCCCCACTTCCCATCCAGCTCCCTGCTTGTGGCCTGGGAAAGCAGTCGAGGACGGCCCTGAGCCTTGAGACCTGTGTGGGATACCCGAAATAGGTTCCTGGTTCCCAGCTTCAGATAAGCATGGCATCGATCGTTGCGCTCACTTGGGGAGTGAATCGTTGAATGGAAGATCTTCTTCTCTGTCTCTCCTCCTCTCTGTATATATGACTTTGTAATAAAAAAATAAATAAATCTTTTAAAAAAAAAGAAATGAACTAGTAAACAAATTCTCTGCCCCTTGCTTCCTTCCTCTGTCACTCTGCCTTTCAAACAAATACTCTTTAAATAAAAATATGTATATATTGTGCAATGTTCAATTCATGGTAAACATTAACCATTTTCTCAAAAGTTTAAAATCTTTTGTAACTATGTTCAAAAGTTTCTGCTGGCATTTAAAAATATACACATCATTGCTATTTGCAGTTAACCATACAATGCAAAAAAAACACCAGAATTTCTTTCACTTAAGTATAATCTAGCATCTATTAAGTAGCATCTCTCCATGCCTCCTACTCTACCCAATCCCTGGTAACTGAAATTACTGTAAACTTTTGTATCAACAATTACTTTTTCACTTCACATGAGTATGATCATGTGGAACCTGCTTTCTTCGTTTCTTTTGCCTAAATAAAACAATCTGAGCAGGCACTGCGATACAAAAATGGTAAGATGCCACTTGGGAAACTCAGAGAAGGAGTTCAAGTCCCAGCAACTGTTTCTGATCCAGCTCCATGCCAATGCACCTGACAACCCACAGAATTCCTGGTTCTTGGCTTTAGTCCAGCCCCAATGATGTTATCTGCAGATCAGTAGATAACAACATATTGTCTTCTCTCTTTTCTTCACCTAATTCTCTCTCCCCTCTTTCAGCCCTACAAGCAAATCACTGAGAAATAGGCTATTCATGCTGGCAGGATGTCTTCCTTTTTATGTCTGGACAGTATTCTATTTTGTGTGTGTATTTTTCTTTTTAATTGATCTATTCATTACTGGACACTTAGGTAGCCACACACCTGCAACATAAAGGACTAGTCCTAGGTCAGGAGCCAGGACATCAGTCTCAGTGTTTCATCTCAATAGCAGAAACCAATCACTGCTACCTACAAGGGTCTATTAGGGGGAAGCTGGGGTCAGCAGCCAGGGTCCAGTGTTAAACACAGACACTCCCACATGGAGTATGAATGTCTTAACTACAAGGTTAACCCCATCCTCCTTTTTCTTTTTCTTTTTTTTTTAACCAATAAGCAGGCCCAGTGCAGTAGCTAGTGGCTAAAGTGTTTGTCTTGCACGCACCAGGATCTGATATGGGCACTGGTTCACATCCCAGCTGCTCCGCTTCAAGCTCCCTGCTTATGGCCTGGGAAAGCAGTCAAGAACGGCCCAAAGCCTTGGGATCCTACACCCACATGGAGACCAGCAAGAAGCTCCAGGCTCCTGGCTTTGGACTGGCTCAGCTCCAGCCATTGTGGCCACTTGGGGAGTGAACCAACAGACGGAAAATCTTTGTATTTGCCTCTCCTTCTCTCCATAAATTTGTCTTTCCAATGAAAATAAATACTAAAAAACAAACAAACAAAAAAAAAACACAGCACCACATAACGACTGTCTTATAAATTCTGATCAAATCTTAAGAAAAATTTACTGAAACTTTTTTACTAGTCAGCAAACTCAGGTCCCTAGTTTCTTTCCAAACCCCAGTCTGAGCAGGTATTTGGTGCTCACACTTCTTGCTCTGATTAGTGTACTTGAGACACTCACTGACCTTTGGTAGCTCCTTCTTCACAATGCTGAGCCACACCTTCCTGCGGCGAGCATTGAGCTGCTCGATGGATAAGTGTTTCTTCTTAGTGCCTGGGGGAGGTGCATCATGAGAAAACTTGGCAAAGACTTTGGTCTGGTGGTGATGGCGACGAGGGGATTCTTCAGAGGAAAGCTCTTCATCTCTTCGTCTTTTTTTCTTCACTTTTTTCAACTTGGCTGCAACGAAAACAGAATAACAAGGAGTTGGATTTTGTCCCCTCCATAGGAGATAGTCCCCAAAGCAGTCTCTTCATTTTAAGTCTCTTTCCTCATTCTACCTGAGGCTAGCATTGTTTATTCCTTTATCTGTTCAGGCCCATAAACATGCCAGGAGAACGATTTTACTAGTAGGGAAAAGAACACAAGGAAACAGCATAAAACTTAAACACCAAGGTTCTTTGAACCCAGTAGAAGGAAAGGAGGCTTAAAGTACTACAGCTCAAAGAACAGTCACAAGATAAATCAGACAGAAGAAGAAAATTAATGCACTATTTGGGCCTGGCATGATAGCCTCGTGGCTAAAGTCCTCACTTTGCATGTGCCGGGATCCCCATGGGTGCTGGTTTGTGTCCTGGCTACTCACTTCCCATCTAGCTCCTTCCTGTGTGTGGCCAGGGAAAGCAGCAGAGGACAGCCTAAAGCCTTGGGACCTGAGACTGCATGAGAGATCCAAATGAAGCCCCTGGCTCCTGGCTTTGAATTGACTCAGCTATCGCCATTGTGGCCACTTGGGGAGGGAACCAGTGGATGAAGATCTTTTTCTCTGTGTCTTCTTCTCTGTAACTCTGACTTGCCAATAAAAATAAATAAATCTTATAAAATAATAACTGCATTATTTGCTATGACATTTCCACTTGTGAGAGAAAATCATGCATGGATTAACATTTCATACAGTTTAGGGGGAGGAGGAGGATCTGGAGGATAAGAAAGCAGAGAAACAAGAAGCACATGAGAGAAAAGAAATGCTAAACACAGTCTATTTGAGTAGAGTACACAGCTCCAGGGTAATAACCTTAACAAAAAATTTTAAATACCCCTTTCCCGAGGTCCCGTTGCTCAAAGCTCACTAAGAGACGAAAGTACACTTCCAAAAAAGAAGGAAAACATTACAGAAAATCATCAGGAAGTGATCTATTCTAAATCAACTCAGCAGCACCTTGAATTCAAACACCTTGAATTATTCTCCATATTCCCCTGTGTATAACCAACTTCTTACCATTCTTGAATATTTTCAATATTTGCAAATCATCTAGATGAAAAAAGGAATGAACTTGCTTAAACATTCATTCAAAGAACATATTTGTTAAATCTTTCAAGTCAAAGAAAATACTTCAGTCAAGTATGAAATAACTTTGATAATGTTCACTATGAACTAGAAAAGGGACGTGGAAGTTGTTCAAATACAGCTAATTTCTACTATAGGAACTCTGTATTACAAAAGTAGAATAGGCAACACACAATTCTGAAAATAAAAATGAATACAAAGGGAAGGCAAGTAAACACAGTCACCTTTAAGTTTCTTCTCCTCCTTGAATTTCTTTTTTCGAGGTCCAAGTAGGTGTCGCTGTTGCTCGTAGAAAGGGTCATACGTGGACAGCAAACCTGCACTGTAGTATTGATACTGCTGCAACTGAAGCATGAAAACCATGACAAGCTTGTGTGTGTTCTACTTCATGGAAAAGCTGAGACACAAAGCAACCACTGATACCAAAGACAGATGATTAATGACTCTTCCTTGGGTTAAAAACAAAATTGGTCCAACTGCCATGCACCTGACAGGAACTGGACAAAACTCGAAAAGGAAATCCATCATGCATCTGAGTTTCTATCTAACAGGTATTAATTGTGATACATGTCCCCCTGGCAGGGGAGAGCATGAACGCAGTTTGCCACGACCACAAGTGATGCAGTCGAGTGTGCCACATTTGGGGAAATCCCAGGGGTCAGCACATCCCCAGGACAACGGATGAGCCTCGCTCTGGGAAAACCACCTGCCTGATCATGGTATCTCCCTGTCAGGTAAGTATGTACGTTTGAGAGATGTAACCAACTCCTTCCCAAAAGGAATTTCTAAGGAGAAATTCATCGATAAGAAATAAACCAGGTTTCTCATCACCAATGTGGTTACACCGCTGAGAGTGGCCCTCTCCTCTCCTCATGTCCTCCAAATACGAGGAAAAAAAAATTGGAAGCAGTTGTCTCATCCACTTTTCCCAACACTTAAACCCATCCAACCATAATACATATTCTTCTCAACTATGTAAACAGCATCAAAAATAACCTAAATGCATCACAGCAAGAACCAGCTAAACTAATGGACCATTCATAAATCAATTTGGGACCCAGTGTGGTAGCCTAGTGGCTGATGTCTTCATCTTACATGTGCCAGGATCCCATATGGGCATCTTCGTGTCTCAGCTGCTCCACTTCCCATCCAGCTCCCAGCTTGTGGTCTGGGAAAGCAGCAGAGGACAGTCCTAAGCCTTGGGACCCTGCACCTGCATGGTACTGGACTGACTCAGCTCTGCTGCAGCCACTTAGGCAGTGAACCAGAAGATGGAAGATCTTCCTCTCTGTCTTTCCTTCTCTATAAATCTGAATTCCCAATAAAAACAAACAAATAAATAAATAAAATTGATTTTAAAAAGAATAAACCATGTTTTCAACTACCAGCAGGTCTACAAATTTACTAAGATTCCTGATAATTATGTTACATTTCTTTTAAAAAATTAACAATCATCCAAATTGTTTCATCTATTTTAACTCTTTTCCACTTCCACTAGGAAAGTCTGCTATTACCTGCCTACACTGCCATGATTCTAACTCTTGAATAATCTAACTTCTACTGAGGAAACATCAAGCCCTTTCAAACATTATTCAAATTACTTGTTAAATTTCACATATTCTCTCAAAATACAGAAGCACAAGGGAAAGCAACCTCCTGAGGCTAGCACCCCAAAGGGGCACCTCAAGTCCCGGCTGCTCCACTTCTGACCCAGCTTTCTGCTCATGTGCCTAGGAAGGTACCCATATAGGAAACCTAGATGGAGTTCCATTTTGCCAGACTCAAGCCATTTTGGCCCATTCCTGCTGAATAAAACCATTTGGGGAAGGGACCCACAGACTGAAAATTTCTCTGTCTCTATAAATCCATTTACTAAATAAATGAATATAAATATGAAATATAATATATATAGTAAGATTCATTTGTTTATTTATTATTTTTATTGGAATGGTAGATTTAAAAAGAGATGGAGAGATAAAGATCTTCCCTCCACTGGTTCACTCCCCAAATAGTCATAATAGCCAGAGTTGAGCAATCAAGAGCCAGGAGCTTCGTCTGGATCTCCCATGCGGGTGCAGGGTTCCAAGGCTTTGGGCTGACCTCTACTGCATTCCCAGGTCACAAGCAGGGAGCTGGAAGGGAAGTGGAGCATAAAGGATAGGAACCAGTACCCATATGGGATCCTTGTACATTCAAGGCGAGGAGCTTGGCCACTAGCCTACTGCACTGGGCCCATAAATAAATATATTTTTTTAAAATTACAGTCAGTGCTCACTATGACAGCAATAAACTAAAAAACTGCATGCTCCATTGTTGAATTTCATTCACAGATTACAGCCAAGTGAGTTGCCCAAGGACCAAAACCAGGATGAACAAGTAATATGGAGAACTATTCTGAGGTCCCTATCAAATAAGCACCCATCAATATGGATAAACTCTGTACATAACATAAACTCCCTTATTTATATGTTTTACTTCCATTTTAAAAATGAGCAAATACTTGGACCACCAAATGCTTTAGACTGGATTTGAAGAAACTGTGATTTAAAACAGTCTGGTATTCTGCTTATCACTTCTGTATTAGTAAGCCCTTAATTAGTAAGCCCTTAATTAAAAAGCCCTTAAACCAACTTTGGAATAACTGCTGGAAAAGTGTTAAATCCTCAAGTCCACTATTGGTTATTATGTACAATGAGTCACAGCTCTGGCAAAAATTGGAGTGATTTTCTAACAATGCTCAAAAAGCTACCCCTTGAAACTATTATTTCAATGTTAATGTGAGAAGGAAGTAGTTTTGTTTCAAGACTATCTGTGTTAACACTGGAATGCACATTTTACAAGTCCTCAAAAGGTTAAGCAGAAAATAACAAGAACCAACAACTCTAACGCCACAGAAATGAATGCAGAAAAACCTGCATACAAATTTTCCTGGTAGCACTAGAAATAATTGCAAAGTCAACCAGTGGATGGGAGAATAAAATGTGATATGAAATTTCTAGAGAATTTGGCAATAGAAAGGAATGAAATGCAGCCATGCCACATCATAGACAATCCTTGAAAACAGCCACTAAGACCAAGAATAAAAGTGCTAAACACTAAAGACTGCCTGCTGCATAATGTCCTGTGCAGTTAATGACTAAATGGGCACGTTTACAAAGACAGAAGATGGACTGGCAATTGCCTGGGAGATGGAGAATAAGGAATAAGGGCTGTGGATTTTCTTTCTGAGATGATGAAAATATTCCAGAAATAGTGATGATATTAATATAATCCTTTTAACTACTCAAATACATGCTTTGAAAGGTTAATTTTTGGCATGTGATGTATATCAACAAACCTAATAAAGGTCATCTAAATACAAGGTTAAAATGACATATCTTTAGGGTCAGCACTGCAGTGCAGCAAGTAAGCTGCCTCCTGAGATGCCAGAATCCCCACACGGACACCAGTTTGAAAACATGCTGCTAAAGCAAGGCATGGACATCAGTCTGATTCCCTTCCAATCCAGCTCCCTGCTAAAGCACCTGGGAAAGCAGTGGAAGATTGCCCAAGTGTTTGGGTCACTGTACCCCTGCACGTGGGAGACCTAGAAGACACTCCTGGCTTCAGAAAAGACTGACCCCGACCATTGTGGACATCTGGGCAGTGAACTAGTGAGTAGAAGAGCTCTGTCTCCCCAGCAAAACTATGTCTTTCAAATACAATAAATTAATAATAGTTAAAAAGAGATGCATATCTGATAATTACCAAGTAAATACTAAGCATAGTCTGAAGTTTCTCCTAAAAGGCATACCTCCTTGTCTTTACTGTACTTATTTTGGTGAAGTTTTTTGTACTTGTGGAGTCTAAGCATGTTATGAAGTTCTTCTCTGCTGAGGTTGAGCTCATCATCTTCTTCATCATTGTCTTCACTCTGAGACTCTGCCTCACTGGACTCGTCACTTAACAGAATGCTCTGAAAAGGCAGTGAAAGAGAAATTAACATTTGCCATGAACCAATTCCACATATATTCCAAGCATTTTTTCCAGAACTCAATACAATAATAAAAATAATTAAATATACTCTTTCCTTTTTCCCCTATACTACTCTTTCATCAATCCAACTGAAGAAGAAAAGGACAATAATTAAACTCAACAGGCGCAAGTTCAACAGCACCTAAACATGGGAAATGCTACAAACAGGAAGAAAGCTGAGCTCTACTAAGAACTTAAAATATATATTAAGCACTCTAATTTAAACATCAAATACCATGGCCAAAACAACTACTTCTTTGTTATAAATGAATACAGACAGTAAGCAGTAATGGCCAATAAAGGAGAATCAATCAAAACAGGCATTAATTGAAAAATGGATAAGTAAAATCTGGTATATTCAGGTAGTAAAATGTCATTCAGCCTTTTAAAAATGGACTACTCATATATACCACAATATAAATAACTTGGACATAACACTGAGTACAAGGAGCCAGACACAAAAAAAATGTACACGTTTTATAATTCAATTTACATGAAATGTCCAGACCATGCAAATTGATAGAGCCCAGAAATAGACTAGAGAATGTCAGGGACTTGTGGAGAGGGAGAGTAAGTAGAGCCAAAGCTATGTCATGAGAGATTAAGCCACCACCTGCAACACAGGCATGCATGAATGTCTGAGTCGGGGCTGCTCCACTTACAATCCAAGTCTCTGCTAACGTGACTGGGAAAAAACTGAAGATAACCAAAGCCTGGCCCCTGTTATCTTTGAGGAAGACCCAGATGAAGTTCCTGACCTGGATAGTCCAATCCATTGCAGCCATTTGGACAATTAAGCAGTAACTGGAAAACCTGTTTTCCCTCTTCTCTCTATAATTCTGCTTTTAAAATAAATAAATACTTAAAAAAAAAGAGAGAGATTAAAAAAAAAAAAGATGTGGGCATGATTGCCACAAGCACAAGATTTTGGGGTCAGCGCTGTTGGCATATGAGAGTCAGTTCAATCACCAGCTGTTCCTCTTTCAATCCAACTCTTTTAGGAAAGAAGTGCTTAGGCCACTGTACCCCCAGCAGCTCGTGGTTCCTGCCTTCGGACCAACCTAGCTCCAGCTGTTACGGGTATTTGGGGAGTGAACTGGCACATAAAAGATTCTCTAATTCTGCCTTTCAAGTAAAAATAAACAAATAAATAAATAAATAAAGTGATCTCATGTTATGAAACAGTGGCAATGGCTGCCCAGCTACATATATAAATACACTAAAAATCACTAATTTCAAACTTCAAAGATGTGGATTTTAGGGCAAGTGAATTATACCTCAATTTTACTTATTTTTTTTTTAAATAGATTTATTTTAATTTTATTGTCAAGTCAGATATACAGAGAGAAGCAGAGACAGAGAGGAAGATCTTCTGTCCAATGGTTCACTCTCCAAGCAGCCACAACAGCTAGAGCTGAACCGATCCAAAGCCAGGAGCTTCTTCCAGGTCTCCCACACAGGTGCAGGATCCTAAGGCTTTGGGCCGTCCTCGACTGCTTTCCCAGGCCACAAGCAGGGAGATGGATGAGAAGTGGAGTTACTGGGATTAGAACCGGCGTCTATATGGGATCCCAGCATGTTCAATGTGAGGACTTTAGCCACTAGGCCACCGCACTGGGCCCTATACCTCAATTTTAAATAATGTGACAGTAAAGCATAAGACATTTCCACCTTCCCAACTGCCTAAAGCCTCATTGGCTTGGACCAATCAGATATTCCACACAGGAGTCTCTAAAAGAGCTTTTAATCGAAGTGAAGACATAAACTGCACTGATTTCTTCAGGTAAAAGTAAGAAACAGAAATAATCAGTTAAATAGAAAAAAAAAAAAAAACATTATTCTTTATTCAGTCTGTCCATTTAATGGACCTTCTTCCAGGTCTTCCATTTGGGCGCAGGGTCCCAAGGCCTTAGCCCAACCTCTACTGCTTTCTCAGGCCACAAGCAGGAAGCTGGATGGGAAATGGCATAGCCGGATACAAACCATTGCCTATATGGGATCTCCACACATGCAAGGCAAGGCATTGCACCAGGCCTTCTGATGAATTTTTATATTCCTTCCTTCCTCACAGAAAATGGTTTCACTGGGGCCAGCATTGTGGCACAGCAAATTAAACAACTACCTGCGACATAGGCATCCCAAATATTTTCAGTCCAGCTCCCTGATAATGTGCCTGGGAAAACAGCAGATGATGGCCCAAGCACTTGGCAACCTGTCACTCATGTGGGATATCTGCTTCCTGCCTCTGGCTTGTTCCAACTCCAGCTGTTGTAGCCATTTTGGAAATGAACCAGCAGATGAAAACCTGTCTCTCCCTTTCTCTCCGTTATTATGCCTTACAGACAAATAAATAAACAAATAAATAAGTAAATCTTTTCTCTACAACCTTTGCAAAAACAACCCACATCCAGCACAACTGTTTCACATCTAAGAAAAACCTGTTATTCTGCCAAATGAGTTGGTAAATGTCCATTGTGTCAGGAATTTGGACAGATTATTTGGACAGCAAATACACTGCCTTATCTCTTCTTACCTTTAGCCACTTTCTGCTTTTCTTCAACTTAGAAAAGTTATATAAATTCCCCTTGTCAGATTTTGATTCTGTACAAAGAAACATAAAGAATTAAAAAAATGAAAGAATGACTGCCCCAAAAGAATTGCTGGTACAAAGGAGAAGCTCCAATCACACTGACCTGACTGCAGAACTCCATTCAGTGAGTATGTGTTTACCATTCCAGAACTGCTTGCTCCAGAAGTTTCACCAAGCAATGAATTTGGAGGTTCTTCCTTAACTTGTATTAAGGGATCCCCAGACTGGGGCAATAAAGGATTACTGTCATCCAACCCATCTTCACTGTCATCACTACAAATTGAAGAATGGTGGGTTAGTCTAGAATCACAAGTGATACAGCAAACTAGAGTAAACCAAGGTAAAGGGTCGGTATTGCAGCAGAGTGCAATAAGCTGCCACCTGCAATGTGGGCAACCTGTGTGAGCACTGATTCATGTCCTAGTTGCACCATTTCTGATCCAACTCCCTGATAACAGTATGGGAAAAGCAGCTCAAAATGGACCAAAGAGCTGGTCCCACCACCCAAGTGGTTTACCTTGAACAAGCACATGGACTCTGTATTCAGCCTGGCCCAGCCACAGCCATGGTGGCCATAAGACGACTTAACAGCGATTTTTCTCTCTGTAGCTCTCCCAAATAAATAAAAAAACTAATCCTTTGAGTAAGTTGTTATTTGAGAATTGAAAAAATACAATATAAAATGTAATAAAAGCCACAAAAAAAATTAACCCTAAAGTATGTAATGTAAGAATGTAAGAATCAGTATTGTGGTTATATATTATACTGCAAACATGAAATAACACACCTAGAAATATTTCTGTTGAAGATGGCTGATGTCTGTCGCAGAAAATGGTCCAAGCGGAGGGCCCTCTCCAGGTACTGAAGGTAGAGGGGCTTTGCCAGCTCAGAGCAGCTGCCATCGTCCCCGGCACCCAACTCCGAGGCCATAGAACAAATTTGTCTTCATGCACAAGGACTTCGACTGCACGGCTGCAGGACAGAGACAAGCATGAGAGGTGACTTAACTACCTGTTCTCCCTTCCCCTTGCCCTTTTGCTCTCAGGGTAAACTCAGACTTCCTAGAAAACAAAACACTGAGAAGACAGCAACCTACAGAAAGATCACAATCAAGTTCTTGCTAGACACTGATTCCTAATGAGAAGGCAGAAGTCAAAAGCAACACTGTCAAATGCCACAAGAACATTCACATGCTTTCTCAAAACAAGCATTACAAAAGTTCACTTATTTCCCACTTTATTAAAAATTTATTTTTTATTTAAATTCATCCACTTGAATTCATCCATGTATCTTTATTACATAGGGGTGGGAACAAGAGAGACAAAGGAGGTCTCCTGATGGGATGGAAAGGATTGGGAAGGACTGGGGGAGAAAGTGGGTGAGGGAAAGACCTCGTCCTCCCTCAGTGGGGACACCTACTGCCCTTTTCCCCTGTAATTAACAATTACCACAACTACTTGGCTGTGTAGTCACCAGCTATCCAAATCTGACCTGCAAACTCACCAGAGTACAAAGCACTATGGTAAGTACTAAAGGAGACCCAGGCAGCACTGCTTTCAAACTACTTATCAACCATGTACTAATATTTGTGGAAATATGTCAAGAATAGGTATAGATGGAGCCCAGTGCATTAGCGTAGTGGCTAAAGTGCTCTCCTTGAACGCAGCAGGATGCGATATGGACGCCGGTTCTAATCCCAGCAGGCCCACTTCCCATCCAGCTCCCTGATTGTGCCCCAAGAAATCAGTTGAGGATGGTCCAAAGCCCTGGGACCCTGCACCCATGTGGGAGACCCAGAAGCAGCCCTAGGCTCCTAGCTTTGGACTGGCTTAGCTCCAGTCACTGTGGCCACTTAGGGAGTGAACCATCAGACAGAAGATCTTCCTCTCTGTCTCTCCTCCTCTCTGAATATCTGCCTTTCCAATAGAAGTAAATAAATCTTTAAAAAATCATAATAATAGGTATAGTGGTAAGGAACCTTTTGTAAAAAGGCAACAATAAGGAAAATTTAGAAATGATTTTAAAAATTGAACTCTGGGGTGAGAGAGAAACAGTAGTCCTACGCAAGCACTCCTTTTACCACCGAACACTGAAGAAAATTAGTGAGAGCATCTTCACTGGGTCCAGTGTTGTGGCACTGCAGCTCAAGCTGCTGTGATCCCCAATTTCATGTTAGAACACGGAACATTTTGGTCCCAAGTGTTCTGCCTCTGATCTTTCAGCTTGACTCAGTGACACCTGCTTCCAACATTCACAGTACAAAGTAGCAGATGGAAGATCCAACACTGCATATATACATATGAGACACACACACATATATACACACAAATATTCTAATTAAATATCATGTATAAATGTTTATGTATATATTAAACCTTTACATATACATGACATACATATATACGTATCCAAATTTCAGTTTTAAGATAAGATGATAAACTATTAAATTTATTGAAACATTTGAAAACTTTCAATACTCTGAGATCTGAAAACTTTCAATACTCTGAGATCTGAAAACTTTCAATACTCTGAGATCTAAATATTTCTGGCCCAAATAATATCTTTTTAAAATAACATGCTTTTCGGGCCCGGCGCGGTGGCGCAAGTGGTTAAAGGTCCTCGCCTTACACGCCCGGGATCCCATATGGGCGCCGGTTCTAATCCCGGCAGACCCACTTCCCTTCCAGCTCCCTGCCTGTGGCCCGGGAAAGCAGTCAAGGACAGACCAAGGCTTTGGGACCCTGCACCCGCGTGGGAGACCCAAAAGAGGCTCCTGGCTTCGGATCGGCATAGTATCGGCCCGTTGCGCTCACTTGGGGAGTGAATCATCGGACGGAAGATCTTCCTCTCTGTCTCTCCTCTCTGTATATCCGCCTTTCCAATGAAAAAATAATAAAAATAAATCTTTAAAAAAAAAAAAATAACATGCTTTTCTTTTAAAAAACATGTTTATTTCTTTATTTTATTTGAAAGGTATATTTCAGAGACAGAATAAGAGATAAAGAGAGGTCTTCCATTTGTTAATTCACTTCCCCAGATGACAGTAACAGCCGAAATTGGGCTAGTCTGATGCCAGGAGCCAGGAACTTCCTTTAGGTCTCCCACATCGGTGCAGGGTCCAAGGATTTGTGCCATCCTCTGCTGCTTTCCCAGGCCATAAGCACATAGCTGGATTGGGAAGTGAAGCAGCCAGGACTTGAACTAGCACCCATAGACAATGTTGACACTGCTGGCAGAGAATCAGCCCACTAAGCTACAGAGCCAACCCTGAAATGATAAAATCTTTATCTTGAGTTTTGCTCTTACGACTATAACTTTTTTTTTTAAAGATTTATTTTTTTTTATTACAAAATCAGATATACAGAGAAGAGGAGAGATAAAGATCTTACATCCCATGATTTACTCCCCAAGTGAGCTCAACGGCCAGTGCTATGCCAATCCGAAGCCGGGATCCAGGAACTTCCTCCAGGTCTCCCACACGGGTGCAGGGTCCCAATGCTTTGGGCTGTCCTTGACTGCTTTCCCAGGCCACAAGCAGGGAGCTGGATGGGAAGTGGACCTACCGGGATTAGAACCGGCGCCCATATGGGATCCTGGCATGTTCAAGGTGAGAACTTTAGCTGCTAGGCCACACCACCAGACCCGACAGTTTATTATTGAGAATACAAAGAGATAAACCAAAAACACTTGAAATTCCAAACACTCGTGTATGTTAGATGTTTCTATAGTAGTCAGTTTTTATTTGGGGACTGGAATAATTTAACAATGTCTGAGAATCGGTACTCTGGTAATTTTGGCTAGAGTAAGCAAGAGTTCAATCGGATACTAACTGCCTCGTGCCTCTCGATCTCTTATACACTGGCTACTTAAACTTTCCATAGTTACCTTGACAAAAAACATAATTTCTTTCTCTTCACTAACTTGTCTAATGATGTGAACAAGCAGATATGTTTGCATCATACTAGCTAATGAACAGTTAATGAGTGTTCGTTAATGAGTGATTTTTTTTCCACTCCATGCAAGCAGCCTCCAAAGCCCCGTTTTTTTATTCTATCAAATATCAACAAACATAGGAGAACATACATACCTTCTATTGTGAGCTATGTGCCAAACATTTTGTATGTGTACCATATGAATACATTAATTCATTAATACCCTATATTAAGTAGAAGCTAACCAAACTACTACTTTACATGCAAACGGCTTATGAAACTCAAGGTCACATAGCCAGAAATGGCAGTCTTGGAAATCTGACACAACAGTTCCCAAGATAAACTCTCCTAAAGTCTCTCCAGCAAATCAGAGCACTGGAATACTCTTCCTTTTTCTTTTCTTTTTTTTTTAAGATTTATTTATTCTTCTTGGAAAGACAGATTTACAGAGAGGAGAGACAGAAAGCACTTCCATCAGCTGGTTCATTCCCCAAATGGTCACAATAGGAAGGGGTTAGCTGATCTGAAGCCAGGAACCAGGAGCTTCTTCCAGGTCCCCCACACAGCGGCAGGGTCCCAAGACCCTGGGCTGTCCTCCACTGCTTTTCTAGGCAATGAACAGGGAACTTCGTGGGAAGTTCAGCAGCCAGGACACAAAACAGCGCCCATTTGGTATCCCAGTGCTTGGAGGTGCAAGATTAGACAATTGAACTAACAGGCCAGTCATACCATAGAAATATTTCAAGCAAATCTGATGATTTTTTAAAATCAGTATAGTTTCATACTTATTTTACATTACAGATAATAACCCAACAGCACTTCAGTTAGTTTGCCATTTCCACTGTACTGGGTTGGCAGCTGGCAGTTCTTGTTGAATTCTTTTTTTTTTTTTTATATATTTATTTTTATTGCAAAGTCAGATATACAGAGAGGAGGAGAGACAGAAAGGAAGATCTTCCGTCCATTGGTTCACTCCTCAAGTGACACCAAAGGCCGGTGCTGCGCCAATCCGAAGCCAGGAGCCAGGAACTTTCCTCCAGGTCTCCCACATGGGTGCAGGGTCCCAAAGCTTTGAGCCGTCCTCAACTGCTGTCCCAGGACACAAGCAGGGAGCTGGATGGGAAGTGGAGCTGCCAGGATTAGAATCCATGCTCATATGGGATTCCAGCCCATTCAAGGCGAAGACTCCAGCTGCTAGGCCACAGCGCCATGCCCAGTTCTGGATGAATTCTGATTCGCTGCCATCACAGTGGGGTGGCTGTGGCTGCAGCAGTTGTTTCTAGGATACTTTCATATTTCCTGGCCCCACAAAAGGCTCAAGTTTTTCCTTATATACATTTTCTGCACCAATCTTAGAATCAGCCTTTTCAAGGAGTCCTAATCATGTTATTAGAACAGGGTTAGAAACTGAGGTATGGGGCCCGGTGTGATGGCGCAGTGGTTAAGGTCTTCGCCTTGCACACCCGGGATCCCATATGGGCGCCGGTTCTAATCCCGGCAGACCCACTTCCCTTCCAGCCCCCTGCTTGTGGCCCGGGAAAGCAGTCAAGGACGGCCCAAGGCTTTGGGACCCTGCACCCGCGTGGGAGACCTGGAAGAGGCTCCTGGCTTTGGATCTGCTCAGCTCCAGCCGTTGCAGCTGCCTGGGGAGTGAATCATTGGATGGGAGATCTTCCTCTCTGTCTCTCCTCTCTGTATATCTGCCTTTCCAATAAAAATAAATCTTAAAAAAAAAAAAAGCAAAACAAAAACTGATGTCTGCAGTAATTCAAGTATCTACACATCTGTAAATATTTCCTTTTTTTTTTTTTAAAGATTTATCTGAAAGATAAGGACAGAGAAATCTTTCATCCGCTGGCTCATTCCCCAAATGGACCTAATGGCCATAGCAGGGTCAGTCTGAAGCCAGGAGCTTCTTTCAGGTCTCCCACATTAAGTACAAGATCTCAAGGATTTGGTTCATCTTTCACTACAATATATATTTCTATACGTAACCATGCTGGAAGAAGTTCCTGGATCCTGGCTTCGGATCGGCATAGC